ACTGAAAAATCATCCATGAAAACTTCCATGGATTTCTCTATCAATTTTGAAAAGATAGCCATCATACATCGTTGGAAATTAGTTGGTGCGTTGCACAAGCCAAAGGCATCCTTCTAAAGGAAAAAGTTCCATAGGGGCACGTGAAAGTTGTTTTTCCTCGGTCTTTCGAATGTGTGACTATTTGGTTATAATCGAAATAGCCATCTAACAAACAATAGTACTCTTTTCCATCTAATCGATCCAACATTTGATCAATGAAAGGAAAGGGAAAATGGTCCTTCCTTGTAGCTTTGTTTAACTTTTTGTAGTTCATTCAAATTCTTCATCCGATTATAATTCTTGCTAGAATCAGCTCATCCTTCTCAGTGGTGATCATAATCATGCCTCCTTTCTTCGGGACACACTGGATTAGACTCACCCATACGTTGTCAAATATGGGGTAGATGACATGCAACTTCTGTCCCGCTTCCAAGTATGTGTATTGCAAGTGAGGAGGTAACTGCTTGAGCTCTAGTTCTGGTGGGACTTCTATGGATAGCTTGCATATTTAATTCTTCAGTCAACTTTAATAATTCCAATGGTTCTTCTTCATTTACTGACTTGTACAAAGGTCCAATTATGATTCCTTCCTTCGAATGCTCCACTTCCTTTAATCTTCCCAATTCTTGCTCCAAAACATCAGTTGATTTGAGGAGAATCTTATGATAATGGTCTCCCAAATGGAAATCATTGAACATTCAGCTACATTTTCCTTGGGGTATTGCAAAGCATTCAACATGTTGAACACAACTTGTTGTCCATTAACTCACATTATTATCTCTCCTTTCTCCACGTCAATTAATGTTCTTCCAGTGGCAAGGAATTGTCTTTCTAACAGAATATGAGTATCCTCATCAGCGTTGAAATCCATAATGATGAAGTCAGCGGGAAACATAAACTTATCAACCCTCACTAGTACATCTTCAATGTTTCCTTGTGGATAGAAATATGCTTCTGTCAGCCAACTGAAGTATAATGGTTGTTGGTCGAGCAAAACCTATACCCAACTTCTTAAATATAGATAAGGGCATCAAATTTATACTGGCACCAATGTCACACAAAGCCCTGCCAGATAATGAATCTCCAATGTTGCATTAAATTGTAAAATTGCCATGATCCTTCAGATTTGGTGGCAGTGTTCCTTGCACAAGCTGACTACATTCTTGTGTCAAAGCAACTGTAGAAAATTCACATACTCTTTTTCTTTTAGCGAGCATGTCTTTCATGAATTTGGAGTAGTTTGGCATTTGTTGTATGTCTTCAATCAAAGGAATATTGACGTGCAATTGCTTCAAAATATCCATGAACTTTCCAAACAGTTATTCTTCCTTTGCCTTCCTAATGCTATGAGGAAAAGGTGGTGGTGGTCTTTCTTAAGAAATTTTTGGTGTCTTGTCAACTTTAGACATGACTCCCTTCTACTTTTCTGAACTAGAATCCATGTCTTCATTGCTTCTCTTGTTACTGTTTCCTTTATTTCCTCTAAGGCCGGTTCCTCAGCGGATTCTTTTTCTCCAGTAGTGTCTTGTGCTGTCAATTCTCCACTTGACTATTGACTTGTTAATCTTCACATTCTTTACCACTCCTTAGTTTTATAACCTTGCATGTTTCAACATTTTTGACTCCTAAGGTAGTGGCAGAGGCTTCAGTAGAACTTGGAAGAGTTCCCATGTTTCTAGAAATAAGGGCAATAGCTATTGGCCTCGCTTTATTTTCGAGGTTTTTGATACTTGCTCACTGTGTTTGAAATTGAGTTTTTTCCTCTTGAATGAAAGATTTTAGAATATTCTCCAGCTGGTTACTTCCTTGGTTTGGCTGATGGTTTGGTGCAGAATAACCAGGAGGAACTTGTGGTGCTTAAATGTGTTGTGTTGTGTGGGGTTTGTTGAGTTGATTTTGAGTGTTGCTCTATGAAAAATTAGGATGATTGTGCCAACCTAGATTGTATGTGTTGTTGTAGGGGTTGTTATTTGTTGTTGCCAACATAGTTAACAGACACATGGTTTGATGAACATTCTTCAAATAAATGCATTCCTCCACAATATACACAAGCAAATGCACTCGCATTAGTAACCACCTTGATTGGTTCAGGTTTGGCTACTTCAGGGGTAGCCATCATATTCTTCATCATCTGATGAATATGGGCTATTTAAGCAGTAAGAGTGTTGGATTCAGAGACTTCATGGACACCAGCAGGTTTCTTTGATGTTTGACTTCCTCCAGTCCTTTTTACAAGCCATTAGTAAGTGTTGGTTTTAATGCTCTCAATCAACTTGTAGCCTTATTCATAAGATTTAGACAACAAATCTCCACCACAGAAAGCATCAAACATGTTTCTTGAAGATGGAATCAACCCATTGTAAAATGTTTCAAGCTGTATACAAATAGGTATCCCGTGGTGAGGACATTGTCTAAGAAACTCCTTGAATCTTTCCCATGCATCAAACAGGGACTCACCTTCTCCTTGTCTGAATGAAGTGATCTCATTCCTCATCTTTGCATTCTTGACATGAGGAAAATACTTGGACAGAAATTTCTCGGCCAATGTGTTTCAAGTATCAATGAAATTAGGCTCTAAGGAATCTAACCAAATCTTGGCTCTATCCCTTAGAGAGTATGGAAAGAGCTTCAACTTGAATGCATCATCCGTTACACCTGGAATTTTGAAATTTATAGCCACCTCTAGAAATGTCTCAAGTGAAAATGAGGATCTTCGTAAGCAGATCTAGAATACTGCCCAATAACTTGTAGCATATGAAACATCATATGATTGAATTCAAACTGAGCAGTAGTTATCTCAGGCCTAAAGATTCCAGTCCTCGTAGCACTAGGGTCAAAGAATGTATAGTCTCTGATGCTTCTTGCCTTATCATTAGCTATGCCAATGATTTAGGGTTCAGTCATGACTGCGTCTTCTGGTACCCACTATTGGAATTATTGATCTTCAGGAATAAGATTTCCTTCTTCTGGTTGTTGCATAGTACATATCAATCTCCTTCAAATTCGAAATGTTCTTTCAGGTTTAGGATCATCTCTGTATTTTGGGGATAACAACTTGCGCATGTAAAAGCTCTACACCTATCGTGACACCAGAGTACAGGAAAACATAAAAAGCTCAAATGATATTTTTAAACCAAAATAATAAATACAACAGTTCAAAATAATTTTTGGCACTCCCTTGCAATGGCGCCAAAAACTTGTCGTGTGTAAAAACGATTATGGTGTCATATGCAAGTATATATGCATGTTTTAATTGCAGCAAGTGATATTAGTAATTATATCGTACCCACATGGAGTGGAAGAGGTTTAGATTGAACTTTTTGTAAGTATTCTTGTTTAAAACTAACATGAGCAAAGTAACAAAATAATAGTTTGTAACAAGCTTAGATTTTTCCACAACATAAAACTAAATGAAAGAAGTGTAGGTTTGATTAAATCAAGAGAGTGAATTTTGAGCTATGATCCATTAATATTTAAGTTACCAAAATGTGTATATAATGAGATGTGTAGTGCATCAAAAGATCAGAACGTGATCTATGTGTGTATCTTTACAACATCAAAACATGCTTTAGTAGGTAAGGGGACAAATCTCTAAGTCTCACTTATAACCCTAAAATACGTCTAGTTTATATTCTGAAAGTTCTATATGGTCTTAGCCTATTACCTCTAAGCAAGCTAATTAAGTGAATATCTCTATCTTATTTGTTTAACCATTTTTTTTTTAATTTATGAAATCCACTTGTTGTTGGATCTCTCACAACAACAAGCTTTTACCTTTTTCTAAGTTGATCATTCAAAGAGTCAGGTTTATAGCATAAAAACACATAAAAAATAAGGCACTTAACATCACATCATTTTAACATAAAGGAAACATTATATTAACTTCACATTGTTCAATAAACAAGTGTTTAACTCATGGTGAGATGAGTACAAACTACTGCATTGAAACTACTAAGAAACATACTTAACAAAAGATGTAAAAGAATGACAACCTATAAGTAACTCAGAGATCTCTTGTGTTGGATAAACAACAAGTGAAGACTCTAGTCATGCTAGCTCTCAGTAGTGAGTACATGATTGGATGAGAAGAACCCTCTCTTTTCTCTCAAACTTCACACTTTAATAACTAGAACAATATTAAAAACTATCTTCTTGGTGAATGTGTGTGAAACTACTTCTCTAATTCCTAAGGTCAACTTTTATAGGCACAAGTGTGGATGTGAAAGGTAGTAGGCCATGGATCATGGGCTTTTGATGCAAACAAGGTTCAACCCATATTCAAATTAGCATATTCTCTTTTTGTCCTCCATTCTTTGTGAATAAGCATCCTAGTACAGACAGTGGTGGGGGACAAGGCGTTCGGTGCAGGCTGTTGTAGCAGGTAGTGGTGAAGAGGTGTATGCAACGTAATGTTTGTGTGCAGGGTGTGCTTTTACAGTGGTGGTCCCCACCGTACTACTTCTTTGTCTCCTTGTGCAATTAATCTTATCCATTTAATTTTCTATTTTTTCCAAGCACAATTATGTCATGTAAGCCCTAGAAACGAGCACACTCCATGCTCTTGGCCATTATCTATTTGTGATCTTTAGAAAACTTTATATTTTGCTTTCAACTTTCTCTTTCAGACGCTGCCTAGACCAAGCATGCCTCAGCTGCCTTAAAATTCATTAACACACATAAAAACTACAAATAGGGGAACCTATTATGCTCAAATCAAGATAAGCTAACAATATTATAACTTAGGAAATAAACATTAAATTCATCACAAAAACAAAAATGAAATGGGGGTAATATGACACTCTAAAAGTGGATTATCACAAACCACCCATTTTGGCTGCTCGGGTAGAAAGGTTGAAGGCATTCATTATTAAAGGGAAAAAGTGTTGCAAGAAGGCTTATGAAGATGATACTAAATCATTTCGAGCGTTTGAAGCGGATGGATCTTGCATTTCTTCTTCTCAATGGTTGTTATAATGACCTTGAGCAATAGTATTATAGTGTGGAACTGCAGGGGTGCTGCGAATAAAGCTTGTTATAGATACACTGAATTTTATATTGATATGTACAAGCCAACAATATTTGTAGTCATGGAGACTCGTTGTGAGCCAAACAGGTTGCACAATACTTTGCAGAAGCTGGGGTTTGATGAGGTTATTTCTTCAAGTAATATGGGTTATGCTGGAGGTACCTTAGTTGCCTGGCACAAGGATAGGATGAACATTACTCTTAGTGCTAAGTAGGAGAAATACATCCACCTAAGAATAAGGATTTTGATAGGAGAATAGTGGCTATTCACATGTATTTATGCTAGTCCGAATGTGGATATGAGAAGTAGATTATGAGACAACTTAAAGAATATGTCTAGAAATGTCAGGAGTCCTTGGATTCTGGCTGGAGATTTCAATGAGATTTCTTATTCTAATGGAAAAAAGGTGGGGTGCATGCTTCTCATAGAAAGCACATGGTTTTCCGTAATAGTATAGAAGAGTGTAAGTTGCATGATTTAGGTGCTAGTGGCCCAAAGTTTACCTGGAGATGGCATGTTCTCCATGAAGGCCAGTGTATATATGAGAGATTGGATAGAGCCTTGAGTAATGAGGAGTGGAGATTTATGTTTCCAAAAGATCATATCAAGGTTCTCATTAGAGTTGAATTTTCCGATCATCATCCAATTATGATTTCCCTTTCTTACAATGCTTTCTCCAAAGTTTCTAAGCTTTTTCGATTTGAGAGTGCATGGTTACTTGATAGTAACTATATTGAGAGACTCATGGGTATGTGGAAGGATAAATATGGTTTAGGTCCGCACCTCAAATAGATAGGAGATGATTCAAAAGATTGGAAGTGTAGTACCCTAAACCGATGGTTAACAACTACTATAAAAGTTATTTAGAATTAGTGGAAAGTGGCAAACTTGGCATCAAACTCAGATATCTTATCCCAGTTTTGAGGAAGCCGATATTGTCAATTGATATGCATGTTATGAGTGAAGAAATCAAAAGAGCTCTCTTTGACATGAAGCTGTGGAAATCCCCTGGGCCGGATGGTTTTCCTACAGGTTTTTACTAAAAGTCATGGGATATTTTTGGAAAAAATGTGTGTGACTTTGTCCATAGAATTTGGAAGAAGCCAGATGGGATTGCTGAAGTAAATCAAATTGATATTTGTCTCATTCCAAAAGTTGATCACCCCACAACTGTTATGCAATTTAGACCCGTATCTTTATGTAACACTATATATAAGGTAGTGAGCAAGGTTTTTGTGGGAAGATTGAAGAATCATATAAATAAATTAATATCTCCATTTCAAACAGGTTTTGTGTCGGGATGAGTGATACATGAAAACATCATTATAGCCAAAGAAGTCATGCATAGCGTAGAGAAATTGAAGGGAAAAAAAGGTCACTTTGTGATTAAAGTTGATTTGTATAAAGCTTACGACAAGTTGAGTTGAGATTTTATTTGGCATATGGATCAAGAAATCAAACTACCTGCTAGTATGATAAATTTAATCATCCATGCAGTTTCGAGTGTGGAAACCAACGTCAACTGGAAGAAGAGAAGTTTGTAATTTTCAAAGAGGATAATTGTGGCCAAAAGTGTCATTGAAGTGATGCCTTTATATCCGATGATGACCAACAGATTACCTAAAGCAACTATCATGGATATTCATGAAATGCAATGTAAGTTTATCTGGGGGGACACATATGAAAAGAGGAAAATGCATGTTGCAAGCTAGAACACGATAAATCAGACTAAAGATCATAGTGGATTAGGGTTGAGGAATCTGGAGAGTTTGAACATAGTGTGTCTTATGAAGCCAGGGTTGAAGATTGTCACTAATCCTCAGCATATGTGGTGTGCAGTTATGTGGGATAAGTATGATATATAGGAGGATTGCATGTTTTCTAGAACGAAGGTAAAAGATTCTAGCCTTTTGGAAGGGAATAACAAAGGTTTCCCAGGATATTCACTTGTTTGGTTGTTGGCATGTTAGAGATGGTACGAGGACTAGCGCTTGGGAGGATAATTGGTTGGGTAAGGAGCTCCGACCTAGTGATATTCAACATCTTATTCCACATATTTTGATTGGAGCTAAAGTTTCACATTTAGTAAATGACTAAATGAAGTAGAATTAAAACATGCTTGATGGTTGGTTGCCGAGTGAGTGGAGGGACAAAATTTGAGCCTGCTTGCCGCCATGTTTGGGACAAGATTATGACCTTTTATATTTTATAGGTACTGTCAATGACAAGTTCTCATCTCATCAAGGGAGGTTTATCATTCTATTGATGTGTTGGAGAGTAGTCATGAAGATGAAATTGGAAGAGGATTTGGAGCTTGCAGGTGCCAGATAGGTGTCATAGTTTTATGTAGATGCTTAAGCCCAATATGCTTCTCATAAACTTTAACAAAAGTAGGAAAGGGCTTGTTCATGCTAGTTGCAAGTTGTGTGGTAATGCTTGTTAAAATACCTTGCATGCTATTAGGGATTGTGTGAAAGCCACTCATATTTGGAAGAATTTAATGCCAAACAATATTTTGGGCGAGTTTCTTTCCCTTAATCTGCAAAATTAGATAAGACTCAACCTGAGATATAATGGAGATGGGATCAACAACTAAAAGAATGTGTGGGCTGTTGTGTACCATGCAATATGGATGTGGAGAAACAAACAAGAACATGATTAAAGAGTATGTGAGACCTTGTGATTAAGCCTACTATATTTTCCAAAGACGAAAGGTGAATGAGGAAGCAACAAATTTGACATCTCATGTGATAAGGAAGGAGGTGAGAAGCAGGAATATTGTTTGGAAGTCGCCTTTGACTAATATGTTTAAGCTTAATTTCGATGGTGCTAGTATAAATCATAAGATGGCCGGGTGTGGTGGTATTATTCGAGATACGATGGGTGACTGAATGGTGGGATTTTCCAAGTTTTTGGAAATTGTAGTGCTACGATGGCTGAATTATAGGGAGTTTTGGAAGGGCTCAAGCTCACTAAAAGATTAGGTTTGAGGAGAGTGGAAGTTAACGTTGACTCTGAGCTGGTGGTGAGAGCTATTCGGGGGAAGGGATGCAACAATCCTAGCTGTTTTGTGTTGATTAGAGAAATTAAGAAGTTGATAGAAGAACATGACATTGTTATAATTTCTCACATTTTCAGAGAGACTAATGTTTGTGAAGACGCGCTAGCAAAGATGGGATGTATAGACAAAGAGTCTCGTGTTTTCAGCAATATCCCATATGCTATAGTGGTCTTTTTGGAAGCTAATAAAACTACTTTTTTTGTCTCTTTAAAGGCGTCCTTGTAGTTGTTATCTTATAGGGCTTATGCCCTCTTTGTAATTAAAAAAAAAGTATTGAAAATAGTAAAAGTAATATTAATTAGAGACTAAAATTGAAAAATGTGTATTGAAAATTAAAATGAGTAATTTATTTTGAGATATTTTTATTCAAAATAAATCACTCATTGTTGGATGAAAGGTGGACATTTTTTAATTTTATTAAAAATACCTATTATTATAATAAATATAAACATTTTATTTATAAATGTATTTAAAATACTCTATACACATATATCATGACATTTTATATATTAAATAAATATTTATTCAGAAAAAAAATGAAAAGGTACATTTATAAATTTCTGTTTGGTTGAATAAATATATATAGTAACTCAAAATTTGACTAAAGTTTATGGAATATTTTTTGACAAACAAAGAATTATTTTTAATCCCGGAAATTTAGAATTTGACCATCCTTTTTTTTTGGGTACACAGTAATATTTCTTCTGTTTTTATCATAAATGATCAATTTCAATTTGACTATATTTATTAAATTACAATGTATTTAGACTAAATATAACCTAAATCTGTTATTTTTCCAAATAAATATAAAAATAAAAATAGTATTACGATAAGAAAATCTAGAAAGTAATTAAACTACTATAAAAAGTTATTTAGAATTAGTGGAAAGTGGTAAACTTGGCATCAAACTCAGATATTTTATCCCAGTTTTGAGGAAGCCGATATTGTCAATTGATATGCATGTTACGAGTGAAGAAATCAAAAAAGCTCTCTTTGACATGAAGCTGTGAAAATCCCCTGGGCCGGATGGTTTTCCTACAGGTTTTTACCAAAAGTCGTGAGATATTGTTGGAAAAAATGTGTGTGACTTTGTCCATAGAATTTGGAAGAAGCCAGATGGGATTGCTGAAGTAAATCAAATTGATAGTTGTCTCATTCCCAAAGTTGATCACCCCATAATTGCTATGCAATTTAGACCCATATCTTTATGTAACACTATATATAAGGTAGTGGGCAAGGTTTTTGTGGGAAGATTGAAGAATCATATAAATAAATTAATATCTCCATTTCAAACAGGTTTTGTGTCGGGAAGAGCGATACATGAAAACATTATTATAGCCAAAGAAGTCATGCATAGCATAGAGAAATTGAAGGGCAAAAAAGGTCACTTTGTGATTAAAGTTGATTTGTATAAAGCTTACGACAAGTTGAGTTGGGATTTTATTTGGCGTACGGTTCAAGAAATCAAACTACCTGCTAGTATGATAAATTTAATCATCCATGCAGTTTCGAGTGTAGAAACCAACGTCAACTGGAAGAAGAGAAGTCTGTAATTTTCAAAGAGGATAATTGTGGCCAAAAGTGTCATTGAAGCGATGCCTTTATATCCGATGATGACCAACATATTACCTAAAGCAATTATCATGGATATTCATGGTATGCAATGTAAGTTTATCTGGGGGGACACATATGAGAAGAGGAAAATGCATGTTGCAAGCTAGAACACGATAACTCAGACTAAAGATCATAGTGGATTAGGGTTAAGGAATCTGGAGAGTTTAAACATAGTGTGTCTTATGAAGCCAGGGTTGAAGATTATCACTAAATCTCAGGATATGTGGTGTGCAGTTATGTGGGATAAGTATGATATATAGGAGGATTGCATGTTTTCTAGGACGAAGGTAAAAGATTCTAGCCTTTTGGAAGGGGATAACAAAGGTTTCCCAGGATATTCACTTGTTTGGTTGTTGGCATGTTAGAGATGGTACGAGGACTAGCGCTTGGGAGGATAATTGGTTGGGTAAGGAGCTCCGACCTAGTGATATTCAACATCTTATTCCTCATAGTTTGATTTGAGCTAAAGTTTCACATTTAGTAAATGACCAAATGAAGTGGAATTGGAACATGCTTGATGGTTGGTTACCGAGTGAGTG